GGGCGGCGCCGGGCCCCGCTCCCGGGTCCCGCTGCAGCAGCGGCCGCCGCCCGCCGGGAGCTAAGGCCTCCCCGCCCCTTGCCCGCGGGGGTCGAAGGTCACCGGCTGCACCAACGAGACGCTGCGGGCGGGCCGACCCGAGCCGGGGGCGACAGGCGCGCAGCCTAGAAGGTCCCTTTGGAGGACTTTGCAGTTGAAAGCAGAGAGCATGCGCAGCCGCCAGAGGGCGCTCGGGGCTGAAGACTGGAACTCCAACCCGAAAGGGGCGGGGCGCGGGGCGGGGCGCGGGGCGGGGCCTGGTGCGCGGCTGGGCCTGAGGGAACAGTGGTGGAAGCAAAGCTTTGAAGCAGAAAGGAATCACGAAAGATAGGAAAGGTACTCTGAGGGAGAAGGGCCTCGGAAGAGGGAAGTGACACAGGGAAGGGAGCTGGAGGAAAGCCCACGGAGGGTGCGGGGCTGAGGCCAGAAGGACGGCCGAGGGGACGGACGCTGCCGTCCGGTGCGCGTGAGGCTCCGGAGTACTCGCAGCTCGCAGGGTGGCGCCGTCTCGTCTAGAGCCCAGCAATAGCAGGGACAGTGCATCTGCGCCCTTTCCACCCTGAGACCCACACGCGTTTTCCTCGGTCCGCAGCTCAGCCAGCCCCTGATCTTCATCAGTCTGGGCGGGGCCGCTGGGGGCGTGTCAACCTGGGCGGGCGGAGGCGGGCGGGGAGGCCGGGGGCGGGGCTAGACGCAGGGTCTGTGCGGAACTGCGCGGGCGCCCCCGCAGGGCTGGGAAGAGATCCCAGCAGCGTACCGGTTCCCTCCCTAAACCAGCAGCTGCACAGGGACCCCCCGAGCGGACTCGGAAACCACACAGAGTCCTGCGGGTGGGCCCGCAAAGTCCTAGGAAAACTTTGGAACTCTGGTCGAGAGACCACTTGGTGAGACTGGACACTCCCCTCCCATTCCCCTCTTGTTCGGAGGCACCTTCTCAGCGCTTCAGTCCCTAGGGCAACGCGACCCTTTTAAAACAGGTGTGGGTGGGGAGGTCGAACCCCCGAGCCTGGTTACACTTGCGGCAGGGTGGGGGTGAGGCCCTGTTCTTACCTGAAAGGGGAGAGGAAGGGGAATATGGGAGAAAATCAGCATATTAGTAAGATGGGGTTCAGTGGGTAGTGGAGGTGAGAGCGCCCTGGGCTGGGGCAGAGGAAGGGTGATGGGTCGAGGTCTGATTTCTGATAGTTATTTCTGCGTCACACGGTTCCATGTAAACTAGAGGTAACCTGAGAAAGGTACAAGTCCCCTTCTGGGGCCGCAGATGCCCCTCCTTTCTTGTTGCCTGGAGCTGGGACTTTGCAGCTAAGGGGCGTGGCTTCTTCTGACCCAGAGTGTGATCAGCCCATCCTGGCTACCTTTCACAGGAAACCTGACCTGACGGACAGAACCGGAAGGAAGCAGGTGGGTGTGGAGCCAGGAAGGAGGGAAGGGTGGCACGAATATTTAAGGGGAGGTGGGGTGGGCTGGGTAGGATCTGGAGCTCGAAGGCATTTTAACAGTTATGGTCCAAACCTGGGCCACACCCCAAAGCCCAGGGATCTGCTGGTGGTCCTCCTGGGCCTAGCAGCTGTCAGTCAGACTCCACCCCAGATCTCAGAGACCACCTCCTCTTAAAGCTTCCTTAGCCTTCAGCGTGATCTTGGATTTGTTTGTTAGTCAGTTTGTTTCAACTGGGAAATGGGTTAAGAGAAACCATTTTAAGATTATTGTGAGAACAGACCATAGTATGTAAACTTTGGGAATACTTCCAGGCACAGAGTAAACATAAAAGTTTGCTTTGTTTGTGCCACCCCCTTCCCCCATGTGTATACATCAATCCAGAGCTCTGGCCTTGTTCTCTCTGGGTTTTTCTCTGTCTTGCTCACTAGTCTATAAGGTCCTTGAGGGTAGGGCCCATCTCTCCTCCCAAAGACACTGTGGTGCCAGTCAAGACCTGTGGAAGCCAAGGCTAAAGTGATGGCTAGAATTATCCATTAAAATTGCTAATTTAGGGGATAGAAAGATGGCTCAGTGGTTAAAAGACCAGGCTGGCCTTGAATTCACAGAGATCCACCTGTCTCTGCCTCCTGAGTGCTGGGATTAAAGGCGTGTACCACCATACCAAGTAAAATAATTTTTTAAAAGTTGCTGGTATAAAGCTGGGTGTGGTAGTGCATGTCTGGGATCTGAGCACTTGATAGGTCTCGAGGCAGGAGGATCAGAGTTCAAGGCTAGCCTTGGCTACATGAGACTCTCAAAAACCGAAAAAGAAAGGTTGATGGTATAGCTCAGTGGAAGAGGACTTTTTCTGGTTTGTGAGAGGCTCTGGGTTCAGAGATGAGAGAGAGAGAGAGAGAAGAGAACGAACTAAGTCTTGGGCCTCTGATTGTGCTTTTTTTGAAAGCTCAGGGAAGGGAAAGGTGATACAGGCCAGAGGAGCTGAGGAAGGTTCCTGGTGAGGAGATATTTCAACCAGGCCCTAAACTACATAGGTGGAAAAGTGGGGTCTGGATAGGGTGTGATAAGACAGGTTCCTAGGGGAAGGTGAACTGAGGAACAGAGGGAATTAAGACTGGTAAGGGTTTTTAATCCCAGTATTCAGGAGGCATAGGTAAGAGAATCTCTGTGAGATTGAGGCCACCTTGGTCTACATAGTGAGTTCCAGGCCAGCTGGAGCTAGGGAGACCCTGTCTCAAAGCAGGAGGGGAATAAAAGAACAGTAAGTAGGAGAGGTCCAGCCTGCCTGAAGTCTCACCAGAGAGCAAAATACCTTCTTCCACTGTGGCCTCCTCTTTTCCATCCTAGTCTTGCAAGACCTCAGAATTTGAACTTAAGGTATTCAGGGACTGAAAGATCTAGTCTTGCCACTTACTAGCAGTTTGAGCTTGGATATATATATACCAGTGCTCACTGACCCTCCTCTGTCTGACCATCTGTAACATGGTCACCTCAGTCACCTGGCTGTTGGCAAGACTGTGAGGCAATGTCTGTGAAGCACTTAGCACTGCCATGTGCCCTGGAAAGGCTCAGTGAATGAGGTACTCTTGTTGTTTTAGGGCCAATCTTTGTCAACAATGTTAATGCAGAAGTCTGGCTGGCCCGGTCAACAGGACAGTTCCATCTCCGGGGAGTCAGGTCCACCAGTCAACTCAGATAGTAACTCAGGTCACTGGCTATCGAAGGACAATGAGGATGCCTCTGTTCAGGTAGTAAGAGTCCTGCTGTTCCTGAGACCAACATGCTCTCAGCCTCCTGGCCTCATTCCCTGTCCACCAACTGGGAGATAGTCTGCATTTTTCTTTCTTCCTTTCTCCCTCATCCCTTTCCTGTTTCTCTGTCTCTCTGTCTCTGTCTCTCTGTCTCTGTCTGTCTCTGTCTCTGTCTCTGTCTCTCTCTCTCTCTCTCACACACACACACACAGAGGGTCTTGCTATGTATCCTTAACTACAGGCTCCTGCCTCTGTCTCCTGAGTGACCAGGATTACAGGCACACTCCCCTCTACCCCAGCTATGCCTAACTTCTTGTGGCCCCTTTCTCCTCAGGAATTCCTATCACCACAACCCCTGCAGAACATGGGGTGTGACTTTAAATTCATTCCCATGAACATATTCTACCTCTCCTAGGTCTGTGTTGTTAGAGAAGATGGGAGGGACTTTGGCCCCAGGGAGTGAAGGGGGGACTCCAAGTATACAGGAAGGTATTTGGGGGTTCCTTCCAGGCAGACCACAGAGGCAGGAGTTGTCTGGCTGTCCTTGGTCTCTGATGCACTGGAAGGACTCCCTGCTACATGGAGAAGGGTGCTTGGAAGTTGCTCTAGATTGGAAGAGGGGTGGAAAGGACAAGGGAAAGAAGGAAAGCCTAGCCTCTCTCTTCCCTGCCTGTGTCTCTCCATAGGTTCCTGCAGACCTGATTTTGAGCCTCCCTCACGTGGACACCAACCAGGCTTCCAGCTGGCCTGGGCTTCAGACCCTGCTGCAGCAGCTCCCTCCACAGGACAGTGATGTGGGTCTCACTCTGTATCTCCTTCCTCTCCTGCCTCCCTTCACCCTGTCTATCTTGGTCTAGAAGTCAAGGGGATGACTAAAGCCCAGCTCTCCCTAGCTGGGGGAAGTCATTCCCCTTAACCCGAGTTTTCACATCTAATAGTAGGCACAATAGTATCTGCTCTGCCTACCACAATGCTTTGTTCAAGAGCATATTTGAAAATGAACATGAACAGCTTTTGAAACCAAGAATGCAATGCATAGATGTAGAGATACAGTTGTTTAGTATTTATTGAGGCCCTACCAGGTACACAGCCTAAAGGCTTAGTAAGTTCAATAGGGGAGACCAGGCAGGCACATATGAAGTAGAGAAAACATGGACTTGGAAATGTTAAGTTCTGGCTCGCTAGGAGCAGGAGCCAAGATGTTTGATGCCAAGTCCTGTCGGGCCCTTGAGTGATGACCATCCCAGCAAAGTGAACCTGAGGCACTTTCTTTGTACCCTCTTTTCTCTCTTCAGAGTTAACTATGTTATGATCTCCCAAGGTTCTTCCTCTCTCTGATGGAGCAGCTAAGCCTTCTAGAATTTCCCACCTCTGCTGTTCTACCTTGAGCACTGAGCATGTGGGACCCTTCCCAGTGGGGGCCTGTTTTTGCAGGAGCGCTACTGCCTGGCCCTGGGGGAGGAAGAACTGGCTGAACTTCGGCTCTTCTGTGCCCAGAGGCAGCAGAAATCTCTGGGACAGGGGGTGGCCCGCCTGCTACCACCCAAGCTCGAAGGACAAACTTGTGAAAAGGTAGGGGGTGTCCCCATCGTCAAACTTCCCCATTCCTCCAACCTTTCCCCTCTCACTTTTCCAAAAGGGGCTTTCTGGAGTCTAGTGGAGACAACAGTTTCAGGATTGGTGATTTGACAAACAGGAACAAAAGAAAAGCAGGTGTTGGGAGTTCTTGGCGGAGGCCAGATGGGTGGGCCTGGTGGGGCAAATGACAGGATAGTCAGGTTGGAGACTGGTAGAAGAGCCATGAGGGAAGCTAAGGAGACGGCTCTGATTCTGACCAGCCTGGTGCCCCTGCTTGGCAGTGCAAGGAGCGGTTGAAGCCAGGAGAGTACGGTGTGTTCGCAGCCAGGGCGGGTGAGCGGTGCTGCTGGCATAGGCCCTGCTTTGCCTGCCAGGCCTGTGGCCAGGCCCTGATCTATCTCATCTACTTCTACCATGATGGGCATCTCTACTGTGGCCGTCATCATGCTGAGCTGCTTCGGCCTCGCTGCCCAGCATGTGACCAGGTAGAGAGGAGGGGAGACTCTGGGGGATCTGTCCAGCAATGCAGGATCAGGGGACACCTTCCTAGGCTGTAGGCTCTGCTGGTATTGGGGAGCAGCATAGGGAGAAATGGAAACCAGTCAGGACTGCCTTGTGTTCTTGCTTATGGGACCTACTGCTTTTATCTCTGCCCCCCCCCCCCAATGAGAAGTCCTCTGGAGCAGGGATTCTTGAATAGATGTTCATCTCACTATGCCGGATCCTCAGTGCTGTGCTTGACCATGCTAGGAAGACCCTCATGTCTGCATGAAAGACAGTTCTGAACTCTGGGATGGGAGTCCAGGAAACTCTGGGGTCCAACTTCTTGACTGTGCCACCTGCTACGTAAGAGGATCCTGCTAAGCTAATCAGCCCTTCTCAAGTCCAAGAGTGACAAAGTAGATCAAACTAGAATGTCTGTGGACTTGTATTAGCTTTAATCCGTATAAGGCGTGGTTATTGGATGGATGAATGAATGAATGAGTGAATGAATGAACCATTTTCGTCTCCCCTTCCTAGCTGATCTTCTCCCAGCGCTGCACCGAGGCAGAGGGACGGCGCTGGCACGAGAACCACTTCTGCTGCCAGGACTGCGCAGGGCCCCTGGGTGGGGGACGTTATGCCCTGCCGGGGGGCATCCCTTGCTGCCCCAATTGCTTTGAGAGCCGGTACAGGAATGCAGGACCTACCTTGGCAGGGGCACTGGAAGGGCGAGCGTCCCTAGGTAAAGGAGGGGAAGGTGTAGATCTAAAGGGGGCGGGCGGCTTAGGTTGGGCAGAGGAGTGGGGAATCTCCCGGGCCCGGACTCTCACCCCAGCCCCACGCCTGTCCACCCCTCCCAGCAGCGCCCTGTCCTCCCATCGCAATCCCCAGACCCAAGCATGGGGCCCCGCAGCTCTCACCGCGAGTCCCAGGTCTGAGCGCTCCACGGGCTTCCCGAACCCACCCTGCTCAGCGGTCGGGGCTGCAACGCGGGACTCGCTCCGGGGTGGGGGACTTGGCCGCCCACTGGTGGACAGAGGCGGGGAGAGGTGGGGGCTCTTGGGGAGGACTCGCGGCGTGGGCGCGCACGGCCCGGGGCGGGGCGGGAGGCCGCGCGCAACCAAGTCCAGCTTCCACTGGTCGCCCAGGCAGGCTCTTTGCAGAGCGACTTGGGGGTTCTGAGATGGGCATTTCTGACGCGGCCCGTAACAGGGGAAGGAGGACCCGATCTATCCGAAGGATGGGACGGCGCCACATCGGAGGCCGAGGCCGTCTCCCGAGCTGTGCTGTCCGCGGCTGTTGCCAGCTCCAATCAGGAAACCCCTAGTGGGCCGGCCAAAGGGCGGGACCAAGACTGCCTGGAGACTCTCAGTGATCCCGACGGGGAAGACCCCTGCCCCACCTGCTCCTCTTCCTCGGAGTCGGAACCCGAAGGCTTTTTCTTCGGCCAGCGCCTTCCGGGTCCCTGGAAGACCCCCGGAAACCTCCATGCAGATGACAGCGACACCTCCAGGAGGCATTGCACCATTTGTTAGTGGCGCATTCTGGAGATGGGGGTTGTGGGTGGGGTGGGGCTCTGTAAAGCCGGAGGACGAGGCTATGCTCCCTGCATTAAAAAAACAAAAACACCCTGAAGGAAGAGGCAGCGAGGACAGACTGCGAGTGCTTGCCCTTCGGCGCCGCGCGCTCCGGGCCTCGATGGAAGCTTTCTCGGGAATTTCACTCCCTTGAAGAGCTAGCCTCACCCCCAACACCTTGCTTCTGAGACAACGAAGTGGTCGCCCAGAACCCGCGACAGACCCAGAGGGACGGGCGGTTGGGACCATGGTCAGGGCCTTCTCGTGGAGGGCGGAGTCAAACTCCAGCGGCTCCGCCTTCGGCCAGCCGGAGGAAGTACCAGGCCGGAAGTTGCGTTATCCGCCGTCGCCGACCCAGCCGCGGGGACCGGGAAAGGTGCTGTTATGGCGGCCAGCGGGGTCACGGTGAGCGCTGCGGGTCCGGCCAACGAAGCCCCTGAGATTCCGGACAACGTGGGCGACTGGCTCCGCGGCGTCTACCGCTTCGCCACCGACAGGAATGACTTTCGGAGGTAACCAAGCCCGGCGCCACTGTGGTCCTCAGAAACCTGTATTTCCTCCTTCGTGCGAGGCCGACACCGCAGGGTTTTTGCCACATTGTAGTGGCCTCGTAATGGTTTTGGCTGTTCTTTGTTGAGGTTGTAGGCTCAGAGAATTCCTGATGGCGAAAGCCACTTGTCACGTGACTCCCAGTATAGCTTGTCATCATGGGCTGGAGAGCCGGCGTTTGCCGCCAGCCCGACCCTAGGACCCACAGGGTGAATAGAGGACTCCCAAAGGTTGTCCTTTGGCTTCCACACGCACGTCGCGGTACTTGCCTCTCGCCCTGACCTAGGGGGCGGGGAAGTGGAAGCGCTAAAGCCTGACAGTTTTAACTCTGCAAGAGTGTTCATTTGGCCTTTTGCATTCGGCCTTGATCCTTTTTCTTTTTAGGAACATAAGTAAACTCTAAATTTCCATGTTGTGCCCACTGGGCAGAAGTACCATTTAACAGCATCTATCAATCAACACCTCGGGAAGGTGGTGCTCAGGGGAAACGTCTTCACACGGAATTTTTCATTACTTATGTAAGAGACTCAATGAGTTCAGAGTTGATGGAAATGTATTCTCTGTCCAGGAACTTGATCCTCAATTTGGGACTCTTTGCTGCGGGAGTTTGGCTGGCCAGGAACTTGAGTGACATTGATTTGATGGCACCTCAGCCAGGGGTGTAGGCAAGTAAGCACTTAACCATACCTCTCTGCACGGCTTAGTCCTGCAAGTTTAGAGCAGTAGTAATTTATTTCAGCTGTTCGGGACATGTAGGAAAGAGGCTTGCTGTAAAAGCCTTAGGTCTGTGTTTCTAGCTGTTCAAAGGATCTTAGTTTTTTTCCTGTGCATTTCTCTAATACCACCTGTTATTTGGTTGCAGATAAATGGAATTCCTGTGTACCCAAACTTTCCCAAAACAGCCTTTGGTCTGTGGCCACCACAAGCTAATACCTGGATGGCAGCTGAAGTGACTCAGATGGGCACCTTCCCTTTACGTGCCTGACCTCCAGCCCCGGTCAGTAGTCAGCTAGCTTCCACCTCTGTAAAGCTATATACAGTCCAAGTTTCTGCAGAGCATGGTCTTTGCGTTCGTTCTAAGGAGTACTGATGGTGTTTTGACATTTTGAAATAAAGACTGTACACAAGGACAGAGTTTTATTCTTTTTAATAAGAAACTTCTTACAAAAACAGGTGTAAAAAGTCAATTTACAAAAATCAAAAACATGGTTTATATTTCACACTCAAGAGACAGGAACAAGCTGCAAACACGGATTGAGAGAGGTGCTTTGCCTCATTAAAAAAAAAAAGAGCAATGGAACTGCGGCTGCCTACCCATGGAGGCTGACATACCAGGAAGCTTATTCCTGAGGGATTCCTTTGTTGAACAGTCCTGGGGGAAGAAGCCATTTGGTGTTGCATAGCATTTTAGTGCACCATGTGGGTTTTCCAGGCACCAGGGAGGCAGCATTGTTGGTAGAATGAGATTTGGTGGCAGAAAAGGCAGTGATGTTGGGGGAAGCAAGCTTGTCAGTGGGCACTAGTGATACTGCCAAGGAAGCTGCCTCCTTCACTTGCCACCCTAAAATGGATGCTAGGCTAGTGCCACTCTCTAGAGGTTGGGGGTTCTTTGGAACCATTGAATATGTAAAGAGTAAAGTGGAGCTAGACAGACTTTTTTTTTTTTGTCTTTTTGAGATAAGGTCTCCCGGTAGCCCCAGCTAGCCTGAACTATGAAGATCAAGCTGGCCTTGAACTCAGAGATCTGCCTCCCAAGTGCTGGGATTAAAGGTGTGTGCCACTACGCCCAGCTCCCCTAGTAATTTTTTTCTGGTCAATTCACTAGGCATTGTTTAATGCTGCTTTTTATGTCCCAGGACTCCTGTGGAATTGGTTGGCATCAAAGGGCAAGAATGAGAAGGGATGGTTGGTATGACTACACCACAGCGGCACAGCTGTCACAGGCATTACTTCTAGCAGTTTGTTTACCAAAAGTAAACAGGACAAAATAATTTCTCTTAATCTCATTTAAAAAGTTCTTTGAGAGCTGGGGGTGTCACTCTTCCCAAAGAGCTTGCTTTGTACTTGAGACGCTGCATTTGATCCCCCAGCACCCAATAAATACATTAAAAAGGTTATCAGAGATTTAAAAAATGTGTGTGTGTGTGTGTGTGTGTAATAATAATAAAAGTTGTGGGGATTACCATCCTCCTGAATGTTGATCAGGTAGTCTGTTTGATGGATAGAAACAAGTTTATGTCAATTCAGGCCTAAAGCCTATCCTGAGATCATAGATGCTCAGAGAGGTTTATCTTATGAAGAGGAAGAAGTCATGAACATGAGGACAAGGCTTAGGTTTGAAGTCATCACCCCCTAAAGGGTGACCAGGAGGCAGCCACAAAATAGATGCTGAACCACTGCTAAGATAGGAAATACCAGCACCTCCTGTTCTTTGGAGGAATGAAACATCCTTAAAGGGTGCTGTCTGATCTTACAATTGAACAGTTCTATTTGCTAAAAAATTTTGCAATTGAAAATCAGAATCTAGAAAGAAGACATGGCAGCTTTCAAAAGCATAATCAAATTTCATTCAAAATTTCATGTTTAATTTCAAGTAACCACTTACTGTTGGTTTTTAAAGCCATAATGATGGTTAGGCAAAGTTTCATTTAAACTGGTTTAGCAGTGCTGGAGCTGAAACCCAGGACCTCAAGCTTGCTGGGTAAGTGTTCTACCATTGAGCCATTTCCCCAGCAATTACTTGTATCTCAAATGAAACATGTATTTTAAGTATGGACAGAGTTACAGAAATGACCACCTGCTTCATAGCTACTAAGCCATGGTATAGTTAAAGCAACATGTGGGTGACCAAGTACATAGTGGTTAAAGTCACAGCCCTGGACTGACAGCAGGTACTAAATGTGTAAAAAACAAATGAAGTTCACAGTCCTATTTAGAAGACACTTTTCAGCTTTTGTACCGACTTGAAAAATTGAAATCTGGAAGTGGCATACTTACCTGGTAAAAAAAACTAAGTAACTGTGGGAAATTTTACCCTCAAGATAAAACCCTTCACCTAATTGAGTAACTAGGCTGAGGGACCCAGTTATCGAGTGTGCTTTGAAGGGTGAGCTTTTAAATATCCTTTGGTGATGAAGTCTCACAGGCTCAGTAGAAACTTTAAAGATGGAGTGAAAGAATCTGGTCGTGAATGGCCTCTAGTGAGCAGACTGGGTCTCACCACCTTCCTCACCACTCAGCACCATCCTAGTCAGCACCTGCCCAAGAAATGCTGTGTGGGGCAGGGACAGGGGGCATCATTTTTGCATCATTCATTTTGCATACTACACAGTGCTCTGGTTTGTCTTATAAAGGTTCACATGGAGGCTGTTTTCTACCCCTTTTCTTAATAGTTTGTGCAAAAGAGCTCCAGAATGGATGAAGTACCACTTGAGAAGGAACCATTTTGACCTCTGCCATAGGTTTGACCTCTGCCATAGGTTTGACCTCTGCCATAGGTTGCCCAGCATCAGTCATGGTTGATGAAGGCTTTTTGAACATTTGTGCTCTGCCACCTACCTGGAAAAAAACCCACATGAGCTACAACCCTAGATAAGGATATGGTACATGTAGGAAAGGGTAGCTTGAAAAGGCTAGAGTTAATGTGTGGAGTAGACAAGGGTGATGAACAATGGTCACATCGCTGCCTTGAAGACAGCCATCTGATAAATGATCACAAATACAAACAATTGGACCTTACATTAAAATTCTAGGACTTGCTGGCAAGAGCAACTCACATTTCATACACAAGAGATGGGAATGCTTTTAAAAAAACCTGTGACACCAAATGTCCTTTAAACAACACATAGACCCATTGGTCATTTGAAATGAAGAAGGAATCCTTTCCCTTAATGTTTTCAATCTCATGCAAACCGTAACTAAGTACAAGGCACCAAATTTTATGAATTGTATAAAATTAGTTCACAAAGCTTTTATCAGTAAGTAAAACAAACTCCGTATCTCCCTCCTTGCTGCCCACCCACCTCCCAACCCTACCCCCAACCACGTTTTCATTCTGCACTACTGTTGACCTCTTGGCTTACTCTGGGACGCTGCCTGCCAGTCCACCTCATTGGTTCTTCCCCTGAACCCGGATGGAGCTGAAAGCGTAGCCAGAGTAGAACTCAATCATTGACTCTAGAAGCCTTGCCACTGAAAACAAAAATAAACTCTGCTATTGAGTCCATAGGACACATTAACACTTCTACAATTTCCAATTATATTCATGACATTTTAAGAGACATCTGCAAGTTCTTTACTGTGTGGCACTGCCCTCCTATCTCAGCCAGAAGGGCTGGACCAAAGCTTGCAAGAGCTTTGCCTGCCATTTAATAAGCACTTCAGTTCCTGGCTGCCAAGGGCATTCCCAGTATATTATGCACTAGCATGGGTGCTGAGCTTAGAGGCAACCACAGGCATGAGCGCCAGGCTAGATTGAGGTAAGAAAGCATTTCTGAGGGCTAGGGTGCATTTGTCTTGGCTGGCTACAGCAGTAAGTAAACACACCAGCCAATCACAAAGGGTTCCTGGAATGAGACTGTTATCTGTGTGCCCTGGGAGAGAAGCAGGCCCACTGTATCCAGCAAGCATCTTGCATTTGATTTGGTGGCAGCTAGTCAACTTCTACCTGTTCTACCTGGAATGTTTCAATATGAGATGCAACTGAGACCTTCATCTCCTTTCAGTGCGTACATAAAGCAAAGGAACACTTCCTGCACAGCAGCCCTTATGCAGTGGACAGTTCTCTGTAGTAAAAACGCTCAAACACTGACTTCCTCAGTGTCTTGCGCTGTTTCTTGCTGAGGTGTCATCTATGACTAAGGTGGCACTTTCATGAGGGGAGCTCACGAAAGACTGGTTTCAGTTCAACACTGTTTCAGTTAAACACTTTACCAAGTCCCTAGTCTGCTTAATGGTCTTTATAGTATTTGGTATAAAACTTTTTAAAAATGAAATTTGAATATCTTGACATTTTCCATTAAGGTTTTGTGTTGATTAGTATGTATTCCCCTCTGGACAGGCAGATGCTCTGGTAGTTTCTCTTTCTAGAATAATAAGCACAGGATTAAAAATGAGGTACAATTCAGTTTTGTTTCCTTTTACTCTCCTTGGTTTGTTATTTTTGTTTTTGAGACGGGGCCTTACAGTGTAGCCCCAAATTTGTGATCCTCCTGCTCAGCCTCCCGAGTGCTGGGATCACAGGTGTGGGCCAATACACTTGGCTTTGTTTTTGTTAATGGGCTTTCCTACTGCTGTGACATGTCATCCCCAACATGCCTACTTAGTAATGTGGACCTCGAGAGTACAGTCTCACACCAGAACCTCAGCAGCATGGGCAAGTGGGACACTTTAAAACAGTGTCCAGGAGACGGTGAGCCCAAGCAAAGCTTATTCAAAGAAGCCTGCAATAAACAATGTAATCCAAACAGCATAAAAATGCCATACGCTATCGCTTCCAAATAAAAGCTAAATATTACAGAAACCTCACAGTGTTGGAAGAAAGCAAGTTTAATTTAAAATCTAGTTACTCCATCCCTATCAGGGTGAGCCATTTTCTGACTGAATTTCTTCCATGTCTCAGTGCTGTCTGGCAGGTCCTACAAGAGAGCCCATCTCAAGAGGTCAACAGGCAATGCTACAGTGGTACCTGGGAAATGTGGCTCATGAATACTGAGAAAGCTGTAACCTTCCTCCTGCAGCCTTACCTTCCCCACTCCCCATCCCTTCCCAAATCCCTTCCACATCTACTCCCTTCAAGTGACAATGGTACCTCTCTACCTGAACTCAGACATTAACATGAGATAGTCAAAAGAGAGCATTCCCAGGGACAGGCTGTGATGTAATGCAGTGGTCACTGCCTGAGAACGAGGGTCTGTCTCGACTTCCTGGGGAATCTGAGCAAAGCGCTGTGAAAGAAAACCATGCCTGACAGGAAGGAAGGCTTTGTCTGGGCAAGCCCATTCCATTTAGAAATGGACCCAATTCTAAAAAGATGTATTTTATTAGTCCACTAGGACGGTGCACTCTTGCTGTATTCCCTCATGGATGGGGACAGGTGGGCAAAACAGCAGCTGAGTAGCATACTGGGAAG